ATATATAATATATATATTTATATTTATATATATAATTATATATTATATATATAATTATATATTATATATTATATATATTATATATATATCCCCCTAAGAGATAAACTGTCTCCTTTCTTATCCTTTCTTATCCCCTAATCATGTACCCTTATTTGGGGGGCCCCCTCCGAGCTAAACTGTCTCCTTGGGGGGCCCCCATAGATATATAACTTTGTTGTTGTCTCTTCTTCTTCTTCCTTCTCCTCCTCCTTCTCCTGTCTCCTTGACAGAGAGATACATAACCAACTGTCTCCTTTCCTTCCTTCTTACCCCACAACTGTCTCCTTTAAAAAGATATTCTCCGTGCTGCTGCAGGTGCTGTTGCTGCTGCTGCTGCTGCAGTGCGGGGTGTACTGTCTCCTCCCTCAATGATTATTAACAATAAGCAAACCTCCAACATATTCTTCCTAAGGACTTGGTGGGGGGCCCCTCAGGGGGCCCCTGCCAGGGGGGCCTCTCCGGGGGACCCTATCTTGGGGGCCTCTCCGGGGGCCCTTGTCTGGGGGGCCTCCTCTGGGGGCCCTTGTTTGGTGGGGCCCCCCCCTGTAGGGGGGCCCCTACCTCAATTGGCCCTCAGTTAGTTGATTAATGAATAAGATTAATAAGAGTAGAGGTACTAGTACCCTATTATATATTATTATGCATGCAGTGTCTTTCCTGCCTTTTTATTGTCTCCCTTTTTCTTTGTCTCCTTATTAACTGTCTCCTTTTATAATAAAGGAGACACTTATTACACAGCAATCAAACCTTAGGGGGCCCCATAAGACACAAACCCTAGGGGGCCCCCAAACAACACAAACCTTAGGGGGCCCCCATGTATATATGATGAGGCAGACCTTGGGGGGTCCCCAGATAAAGCAGACCTTGGGGGGCCCCCAAACAACACAAACCTTGGGGGGCCCCCAAACGATACAGCTCTCTAGTACCATAAGGAGACCCGTAGAGGTAGGAGGGGGGCCCCCCTATATGGTTAACAGATCTTGGTGGGCCCCCCCTTTTCCTATATGAAGAAGGTGCTGAGGGGGCCCTTGATGATAATAGACCTTGGGGGGCCCCTCTAGGTGTCTATAAGAACTTAAGGGGCCCTCAAGGGGAATCAGATCTTGAGGGGGCCCCCAGATAACATGGACCTTGGGGGGGCCCCCTTATTTTGTTTATACACTGGCAAGGACCATGAGAGGCCCGTTGTTTATTATATATATATAAGAAGGAAGGGGCCCCCTCTCCTTATATATTCATATCTTAATGGGGGAGGGGGGCCCCATATATATATAACTCATATCTTGGGGGGGCCCCCAGATTTGGTGGGGGGCCTCTTGGTAGGGGGGCCCCCAGATAACATAGACCTTGTCTGGGGGGCCCCCTATACGGTATAAGGATATATATATAATGACCTTGTAGGGGGGGGCCCCCATATGGTATGGGGGACCCCCAGGTATATCCAAACTTGAAGGGGGCCCCCTATTAAGCAAACCTTGAGGGGGGCCCCCTTTTATATATTATATAGAACTTTAGGGGGGCCCCCACAAGAAACAAACCCTGTGAGGGCCCCTGTAAGGATAAGGAGACACTCCCTCTTGCCTCCCTACCCTTGTATCTGTTGTTGTTACTGCTGCTGCTGTTGCTGCTGCATCTGCTGCTGTTGCTGCTGCATCTGCTGCTGCTGCTGCTCTTGTCGCTGTTGTAAGAATCCCCTAAGGAGACACTATATTTATTAAGGAGACAGGGGCCCCCTAGTGCCTTGTTAAGACAACGAATAGTGTCTCCTTTTTATATTGGTGTCTCCTTTTAGCCGCAGCAGCAGCAGCAGCAAAACAAGTGCTTCTTCCTGCTGCACCTGCCACCGTTGCTGCTGCTGCCGGTGTCGTTGCTGCTGCTGCTGCTGTTACTAATACGATGCCGATATTACCAAGCTTACTGTTAAAACATTATTGTTTCTGCTGCTGCTGCTGCTGCTGCTGCTGTTAATGCTGCAGCAGCAGCAGCAGCAGCAGCAGCAGTATTCTATCATCATCAAGCATAATTAGCTACCCGTAAGAGCAGCTCCCCTCCTGTAGCATTGTTGCTGCTGCTATTGGATATGTTGCTGCTGCATGAGCAGCAGCTGCTGCTGTTGTTGCTGCTGCTCTAGCTGTTGCTGCTGTTCCTGCTCCTGCTGCTGTTGTTGTTGCTGCTGCTCTTGCTGCACTTGCTGCATAACTGCTACCAATGCTTCTAACAACGCCCTGTTATTGCATGCAGTAGCAGCAGCAGCAGCAGTAGTATTACCACCACCACCAGCAGCTGCAGCTGCTGCTGCTGCAGCAGCAGGTGTCTCCTTTTGTCTCCCCTCATCAGCAGCAACAGCAACACGCATAAATAGATCTTCTCTTAAAGGAGACGATCTTAATACTAAGGACCATACCCCTACTGTCCCCTCAATACTGTCTCCTTTGCTGCTGCTGCTGCTGCTGCTGCTGCTGCTGCTGCTGCTGCTGTTACTGCAGCTGCTGCTTACAACAGCAGACTGTGTTGTATCCTTTATACAACAGGGGGGCCCCCCACCACGAGAGGGGCCCCCAACACCTGCACCAACTGTTGCTGCTGTTGCTGCAGTTGCTGCTGGAGACCCCAGCAAGGTACGGCCCCCAGCAGAATCGCCAGATGAGCCTGCTGCTGTTGCAGGTGTTGTTGCTGCTGCTGCAGTTGCTGCTGTTGTTCCTGCTGTTGTTGCTGCTGTTCCCGCTGCGCATCGTGTTGCAGCAACAACAGCAGCAGTTGCTGCAGTTGCTGCTGCAGCTGTTGCTGCTGCTGTCTTAGGGACAGGAGACACCTTGAAGGGACTATGCTGCAGCAAAGGAGGAGACAGTAAATCAGCAGGAGCAGCAGGAGCAGCAGCAGGAGGTGAATGTTTATAAGGAAGGAGGAGACTCGGATTAGATCGCATGCAACTAACGGGGCTGCTAATAGATACATCAGGAGCAGCAACCTGCTGCTGCTCTTGCTCTTGCTGCTGTTCCTGCTGTTGCTGCGGCTCTTCTTGCTGCCGTTTTTGCTGCTGCTCCTCCTCCTTTTCTTGTTGCTGCTGCTCTTGGTGCTGCTCTTGGTGCTGTCCTTCCTCTTCTTGCTCTTGCTGCTGCTGCAAAGAGTTATTGTTGTCCCCCTTTTGTGTTTGCTGTTGTTGGAGCGTCTGTGTTGTTGTTCCTCCCCCCCTAGCAGCTGCACCTGCTGCTGCTCCTCCTCCTCCTCCTCCCCCTCCTGCTGCAGCAGCTGCTGCTGCTGCTGCTGCATTGAATGGTGGTGGTAGTCCCCCCCAATTAGTATCGAAGTCAAGGGGTTGTAATCTATGATGAAGATCAGCAGCAGCAGCAGCAGCAGCAGCAGCAGCACATAAAACACATGGTGTTGCTGCTGCAGTATCATTTGTCTCTGGTGATGTATCTGCTGCAGTTGTAGGTGTAGTAGGTATCTGTTGTTGCTGTTGTTGTTGCTGCTGTTGCTGTTGCTGCTGTTGCTGTTGCTGTTGCTGTTGCTGTTGCTGTTGTTGCTGTTGCTGTTGTTGCATATGTCCTTGTTGGTCTCCTCTATCTCCCCCTTCTTCCTCTCCCTCTCCCTGTTGCTGTTGTTGCTGTTGTTGTTGTTGCTGCTGTTGTTGCTGCTGTTGTTGTTGTTTGTCCTTTTCTTGTTCCTCTACCTGTATTGCATGCATGCGCATGCATTCAAGGTATCTAAATCCTTCTGTTCCCCCTAGATAGAGAACTTCTCTTGGTTTTTCTTGTTGATTATTATCTGTATATATAAATAATCTTTTTTTTTTTTTTATTAATATTAACAATCGTCTCTTCCATCGTCCCTTTCTTGATAATATCTCTACTATACCACATACTGTCTCCTTATTGCATGCAGATACTGTAGTAACAGTAGCTCCTGCTCCTGCTCCTGCTCCTCCTGCTCCTCCTGCTCCTGCTGCACAAGAGGTACTACTACTACTAATGCTGTTCTTGTTGTTGTTGTAGCATTGTCCTCCTCCTCCTGCTGTTGTTGTTACTGCTGTTGTTATTGCTCTTGTTCCTCCTCCTCCTGTTCCTGTCTTTGCTAGTATTGTCCCTCCTCTTCCTCCTCCTATTCCTCCTCCTCCTGCTGCTGCAGCAGGAGGAGGAGAAGCATTAGGTGAATAATTAAAAGGAGAAGGAGGAATAAGATATGTATCTCCTGATCTCCCCCATGAACTATTATTACGTCTCCCTTGTTGTTGTACAGTACTACTACTACTACTACTACTACAAGCAGCAGCAGCAGCAGCAGCAGCAGCAGGAGCAGCAGCAACAGGAGCAGCAGGAGCAGGAGCAAGAGGACTATCCCTAGCCTGATGCAACAAAGGAGCAAATAATCCTCCCCTATCTATTGCATCTTTTAGCTCTTGTGCTTGTGGTCTTAGTTTAGGGTCTGTATGTAGACAAAGGAGACAGAATTGTTGTATACCTAATAAGTGTCTCCTTTTTTGTATATAATTAGGTATAGATCTATGTCTTGCATTAATTAATATGTCTGCTCTCTCCATGACTGTCTTACTCCTACTAAATAGATCTATACATAACATACCTAGACACCATATATCTACCTTATTATCATATAATTCTCCTCTTAATTGTTCTGGTGCTGCATATACAGCTGTACCTACACCACGAGTACGTGCTGCTCCTCCTCCTCCTCCTCCTCCTGCTGCTCCTCCTGCTCCTGCTCCTGCTGCTCCTCCTGCTCCTGCTCCTGGGGGATGGTGGGGGGGACAGGGAGAAGGAGACAGAGGAGATCCTACACCATGCATACGGGTTGATGATGATCCACGAGATATATATACTCCTCCTCCTCCTGCTTCTGCTCCTCCTCCTCCTCCTCCTCCTGCTGCTGCTGCTGCTGCTGCTGCTGCTCCTGCTGCTGGAGGAGACAGATGAGGATAATAAGGAGGAGACAAACCTCCTCCTCCTCCTGCTGTTGCTGCATCATCATGTATAGTAGGTGAATAAGGAGGAGAGAAAGGAGACAATTGTTGTGCAAAATTATTACCTATAAAATAATGATGATTATCTGTCTCTTCCCCATAAGAGGATGAACTTGTTGCAGTTGCTGCTGCTGCTGCTGCTGGTGCTGTTGCTGTTGCTGTTGCTGCATGATTATGATTAGAATATGTATCTGCACGTCCAGCAGCAGCAGCAGCAGCAGCAGCAGCAGCAGCAAGTAATTCATCCTTGAATGCAAGACCAAAATCCCCTATCCTTGGTATACCTTCCTTAGATAAGAATATATTAGATGGTTTTATGTCCCTATGTATAATACCTTTTTTATGTATAAAGGAGACACCTATAATTAAATAATATAATAATAATGCTTCTTTTCTTCCTCCTTCCTCTATTCTTGGTGTATATGCTATATAATCCTCTAATGATAAAGGATAATACTCCATCTGTATATGTAGAGACACTTGCACACGCCCTATATGCTGCTGCTGCTGCTGCTGCTGCTGCTGCTGCTGCTGTTGCTGCTGATGGTTGTTATGGTTGTTGTTATGGTGGTTGTTATGGTGGTTGTTGTTGTTGTGGGGGTAGTAAGGAGACAGAGGGGATGGTAAAGGAGACAGGAAACAAGGAGATGCATAATGCTGGGAATTATTCTCTGCTGCTCCTCCTCCTCCTCCTCCTGCTGCTGCTGCTGCTGTTGTGTTGTTGTTGTTGTTGTTGTTGCGGTTCTTTGCTGTTGCTGCTGTTGCTGCTGCTGCTGTTGTTGTTGGAGGGACACGAAGAGAAGTGTCTCCTTTCTTACGATAACGACGAGGGAAAGAAGGAGACAAACAAGAAGAGGAGGAGGAGGAAGAAGAAGAAGAAGAAGAAGAAGAAGTGTCTCCTTTTATTCCCTTTAGGCCTATAGGAGATACCTCTGTTGTTGCTGTTGCTGCTGCTGCTGCACCTGCTGCTGCACCTGCTGCAGCAGCAGGACCTGATGCATTAATACAAGATGTATTATTATAACAGCAACCCCATGATTTAACAACAGACACTTCTTCCTCTCCTGCTGCTGCTGCTGCACCTGCTGCTGCTGCTGCTTCTCCTTCTTCCTCCTCTTCGTCTATATCTCCCTCTTCTTCTTCCTCTTCCTCCTCTTCTTCTTCCTCCTCCTCTATCTCCCCTTTATCTATACTGTCTCCTCCTCCTCCTCCTGCTCCTCCTTCTCCTGTTGCTGCTGCTCCTCCTCCTCCTCCTCCCTTATTAATAATAGATGAGGAGACACTTGGTTGCCTAAAGGAGATCTTTAGTCCCTCTGTTGTGTCTCCGCTGCAGCTGTCTGTACACCAGAAACCATCACAACTATGACTATCTGTGTCTCCTCCTGCTGCTGCTGATTCCCCATCTGCTGCTGATTCTTCTCCTGCTGCTGAACATACACCACCTGCTGCAGCAGCAGCAGCAGCAGCTGCTGCTGCAGCAGCTGCTGCTGCATTGTGGTTGGTGTGCGGCTGCTGTTTATGACCATATTGTAAGGCACAAAAGAGGGGGCCCCCCTCTATACCCTGTACCCTATTATTAGGGGGCCCCTCCTCATCAATTTTATTATCTATAGATAATAATGTAGGTAAGGGACCATTGGTCATCTGTATCTCTTTTGCAGCAGCAGCAGCAGCAGCAACTGCAGCAGGAGACCATTGGTCTCTTCTTCTTCTCTCACCACAACAACAACGTGCACAACCACCACCACCTGCTGCACCTGCTGCTGCAGCAGCAGCAGCAGCAGCAGCAGCAGCAGCAGCATTCCCTCTATATGCATAATCATAAAGATAGGGATAAGACCCATCATTGTGTTCCCCTCTTGCTGCTGGTGTTGTTGGTGTTGTTATAACTGGTTGTATTTGTTGCTGCAGTTGTTGCTGCTGTTGCTGCTGCTGTTGCTGCTGCTGCTGTTTATGTTTTTTATTATATGGTATATATTTAGTCTCTAACCATGAGGAGAAATAACGAGCAATAAAAGGATGATTAGTTAGATGACGGAGACAGTATACTTCCCTTAATACACGATGAGTACGACTTACTAGATGACGAGCATCTACAGTAAACTGCAACACATAACCAACAGCAGCAGCAGCAACAGCAGCAGCAGCAACAGTAACAGTAACAGTAACAGTAACAGTAATACAAGCAGCTAATGTAGGGGCAACAAGAAGAGGAAAAAAAGGGAAAAAAACAGCAAAAAAAACAAACAAATACCAATAGAGGGAAAGGAAATAATTATAGCCAAGGTGTCCTTATAACTGCAGCAACAGCAGCAACAGCAGCAGCAGCAGCAGCAGCAGCAACAGCAGCAGCAGCAGCAGCAGCAGCAACAGCAGCAGCAGCAGCAGCAGCAGCAGCAGCACTAAAGACATAAGACATGCACCCTAATATAGGACCATCAATAGAATCATCATAACAACAGCAGCAACAACAAGACAACAGCAGCAGCAAGACAGCAGCAGCAAGACAGCAGCAGCAAGACAGCAGCAGCAAGACAGCAGCAGCAGCAAATAAATAAATAAATAAATAAATAAATACCTGTATAATTTTAATAGCATATATTTCTCCATCTAATTTATGTTTAGCCTTGAGTACCCTACCGAACCCTCCCTTCCCTACTGCAGCAAACTCATAAAAATCCCTAAGGAGACGAGGGGGGCCCCCCTCCCATTGGAGGGGGCCCCCCTCACCTCCTCCTCCCTCTATTAAACCATGACCACCACAAGCAGCAGCAGCAGCAGCAGGAATAGGAGGGGGAAAAGGAGGAGACAGATAAGGGGCCCCTCCTAATTGAGGGACTGGGGGCCCCTCTATGTTATATTGATCCTTCTCTATACAATTATATATAGGGGAAGGGGATGGGGGACAATAAGGAGACAGAGGAGGGGGGGCCCCTCCTATTAATGGGGATAAATAGGGTACAGCTAAACATCTTGTACGTGGTATACATGGGGGGGCCCTATTATTATATACAGGAGAGGGGGCCCCTACAGGGACACCAGGGGAGGGGCCCCTTCTTGGAGACGGGGCCCCTCCTGATCCATCAGGAAGGGGAGGTCTAGCAGGGAAGGGGGCCCCTGGGGATTGGGGGGACCCCTTCTTTGGGGAAGAGGGGGGGGCCCCTGGTGAGGGAGGGGGGCCCTTTATGGGTACTGGGGGCCCCAATCTGGTGCTGCCACAAGGAGGAACCATTATAAGGAGACAAAAGGAGACAGGGGAAGAAAAAGAGACAAAAAGGAGACAGGTAGTAGAGGCAGCACAGAAAGGAGACACTTTATTCAATTTATGCAAACAGGGTATGCTGCTGCTGCTGCTGCTGCTGCTGCTGTAGCTGCTGCTGCTTTAGCTGCAGCTATAGTTGCTGCTGCTGTTGCTGCTGCTGTCAGGGAGACAAGGAGCAGCAGCAGCAGCAGCAGCAAAAGGAGACAATATAAATAACGCCAAGAGGGAGAGAAGGAGACACTTTTGTCTCCTTTTATTTATTTATTGTCTCCTTTCCTTATATACACAAGACAGCAGCCCCTTCCTCGCTGCTGCTGCTGCTGCTGCTGCTGCTAACCATCCACCATCAGCAGCAACAGATGCAGCAGCAGCAGAAGCAGCAGCAGAAGGAGTAAGCAGCCTATAAGGGAGGGAGTATATTTATATAAGGAGACAATAAGGAGACAATAAATGGGGACAATAAGGAGACAGCAGCAGCAGCAGCAACAATGCTTGCTGCTGCCTATATTAATACCTCAGGTGTACGTACACCTCAATCATATTAAGCAAACTGCTGCTGCATACACAGAAGCAGGTGTATATACACCTCAACTATCATCTCCACAGCAGCAGCAGCAGCAGGAGCAGCAGCACGAGCAGGAGCAGCAGGAGCAGCAGCAGCACACTATAGTATGAGGGGTGCAGCTGCTGTTAACTGCTGCTGCTGCTGTTTTTGCTGTTGCTTCTGCTGTTGTTGTTGCTGCTGCTGCAGTTATGCAGCAGGTATGCAGCTTATGGGTGTTGCTGCTGCTGCAGCTGCGGCGGCGGCGGCGGCTGCTGCGGCTGCTGCTGCTGCTGCTGCTGCTGCGGCTGCTGCTGTTGTCGGCTGCTGCTGCTGCTGCAGCAGCTGCAGTGTCTCCCAGGGGCCTCAAAGCTGCAGGTTGTGGGGGCCTTAGGGGCCCCCGGGGGCCCCTGGGTACAGTAAATGTTGTTAATGCTGCTGCTAATGGGTACCGCTCCTTATAATAAGAGCGGAGGTAATAAAGAAGAGAGGGGGGGCCCCTAATTGGGGAAAAAAGGGTACAAAAGGGTACTAAATAAATAAAAAAAAGAAATAAATAAAGAAAAGAAAGGTGTATAAGGAAAGAAGAAGAGAAGAAGAGAAGAAAAAAGAAGAAAGTAAGCAGCAACAGCAGCAGCAGCAGCAACAACACCAACACTAGCAGCAGCAGCAGCAGCAGGACACAGCAGCAGCAGCAGCAGCAGGAGCAAGACCCCTCTGTATATATATATATTTATATTTATTTATTTATTAAGAAAAGAAGAAAGGGTTTATTATTTATTAATAAAAAAGAAAAAAGAAGAAAAAAAAAAAAAAAAAAAA